GTCCACTCTTACTTTAGATCAAAAATGGCTTACTTGGGAATGATTTACTACGCTTGCTCTCAGAGTCTAGCAGGGCTGAACATGTGTTTAATTGGAATTTTATGTTGTTGTGTTGGAAAAGCTTCCCACAAAATGAAATGGAAAGCTGGAGAAAAAAGATGGCTAAATAGTGAACCATTCCAATATCAAAAGCATGTTCTATGTTTGCAAGCTTGCTGTATCAGTAGGGGCTCTCCAGGAAATGGGTGGCTCACTTGAAGTAGTCACTGCAGAGAGTTTAATAAAGGGACTACTGTATTTATAAAGGTATGAGAAGGTTAAGGGAAGTAACAAGGGTTGGTGAACTACCCCTACCCCACTAACTCCATGTAGCAGGGAGCCTACACCACCCCAGGCCTAAAGAGGCAGTGTGTTTGCTGTTCCTGGACCTGGAAAACATTGAAGCTATGGAGAGGAGCAGGTGACTGGCACTGTGGCCCCGGTGGAGGAATGTGGCCAGTGTTAGGTTCCAGCAAGGCAAGGAGGGAGCTATGGGAAACCAAATCTCCAAGCTTTCTTATTTTCCACCTTCAAATCTCCTTTCCCAGTCCCCACTGGGCTGGCTCTAACTGAAACTAGAGGGCAAGGACACCAAAGGGCATCATCTGAGGCACAAAGCAGGGTGAAGAAGGGTGGAGTGTGGCTTTGGAGGAATAGCCAGCACCCCAGGACTCCAGGACTGGGAGTGAGGACAGGGGAATAAAACTGATGCTAAAAGGCTTGGCATTTGTATTTTATATACATGCGACCAATTGGATCTAAACTCAATGATCGTATTCTATTTTTCTACTTTCCATTTCACATTTTTCTACTTTCCAGTCATTACTACTGAAAAAAGACTCTTTTAAATTTCTTTTTTCCTGGGGTTAGGTGATTTGCAGGGCTGTTTGTTTATATCTTTGATCAGATTGGATGCAACTCACTAGCTTTTTATAAGAATGCATCAGTCTCTAGAAACATGGAGCAAAACAGATGCAACCCACTTCTTGCTACTATCCAGGACCGTAGGAGGAAGTTTTGCCATTCCTAAGATCCATCAGTAAAATCATATGGGGAACTTTGCATTTAATTGTTTGTTAGGCATTCTGTGTATCTCCTCTGGGGTTCCTGATTCCCCCTTCTGTACTCCCTCCCCTCAATTCCCCACTTTCAGAGCTCTCCTTGGGGCTTCTATTCTATTCCACAGACTTATTTGGGTTCCAGTATATAATTACAAGTATATCTCACTTTTCAAGGCATCTGGGTCAGATGAGAAGCCTATTTGCCTTTCCCTGATTTTTATGGTCTGATAGCATAGCCTCTTTCATTATCCCTGGTCTACCACAACCTACATTCTTTCTTGCAGTGCTCTGGGGACAGTCAGGCTACAGGCCACCCAGATCAGAACTGGGAATCAGTTGATTAGTTATCATGTAGTACCACAAATTAGCCAGGTATTGCTGGTAAAATCTAAGAATATTTCTAAGTCTTGCTTTTGTCATCTGTAAAACTGTGCTTGAAATAGATTTGCGATCCCTCAAATACTACCATGAAGTAAGAGAGATGAGAGCTGGTGGAAGTAGCCTAGTTGTCTTCAAAGAAAAGAAGGGCTTGTGTGGAGATCTGCTGGAGCTTTAAGTATTATGTCCCCTGGGACACCATTATGTCCCAGGCCTGGTTCCTGGTTTCAAGCCACAGAAACACACTCTTTTCTGGACCAGGGGATGCCATGCTTTGGCTCACTCAGCTAAACACCTACAAAAACTGAGGTTGGTGTTGTAACGCCAATGCACAATTGTTCTGCCATCTAAGAAGGCCTGGTGTCCTTGTTGTGGAATCACTGCACCAGGACAAGTTCTTCAGGTCTAGATCCCCTTTCTGATGAGACTGCCCACACCTGTGCATCTTCTATAGCAATGTTCCAGAACTGTCACTGCCCCAACAAAATCATATAGGAGACTGAGGAGGACATCATAATGTCAGTTTGTTAATTTACTAGGAGAAATAAAATGTTTAGGAATATACCTAACTAAGGAGGTGAAAGACCTCTGTAAGGAAAACTACAAAACTGCTGAAAAAAGCATACGTGAAAAATGGAAACACATCCCATGCTCATGGTTGGGTAGCATCAACATTGTGAAAATGACCAGACTGCCAAAAGCAATCTACAAATTGAATGCAATTCCTATCAAAATACCACTATCATTTGTCATAGAACTAGAAAAAAACAGTCTTAAAATTGATATGGAACCAAAAAAGAACCCACATAGCCAAAGCAAGACTAACAAATCTGGAAACATCATGTTACCTGACTTCAAACTACACTATAAGGCCATAGTCACCAAAACAGCATGGTACTGGCAAAAAAATAGTCACATAGACCAATGGAACAGAATAGAGAACTCAGAAATACAGCCAATACTTACAATACTTATAGACAACTAATCTTCAGCAAACCAAAAATAAATAAATAAATAAATAAATAAATAAATAAAAGTGGGGAAAGGACACGCTACTCAACATATGGTGCAGTGATAATTGGCTAGCCATATGTAGAAGAATGAAACTGGATCCTCATCTCTCACCTTATGCAAAAATCAAGTCAAGATGAATCAAGGACTTACATCTAAGACTTGAAACCATAAACAATCTAGAAGATAACATTGGAAAAACCCTTCTAGACATTGACTTAGGCAAAGACTTCACAACTAAGAACCCCAAACCAAATGCAACAAAACAAAGATAAATAGATGAGACTTAATTAAACTAAAGCACTTCTGCACAGCAAAAGAGACAATCAGCAAAGTAAACAGATAACCTAAAGAATGGGAGAAAATCTTCATAATATACACATCTGACAAAGGACTAATATCCAGAATCTACAAGGAACTCAAACAAATTAGCAAGAAAAAACAAATGATCCCGCCACAAAATGGGCTAAGGATATGAATAGACAATTCTCAAAAGAAGATACTGATACACGATACACAAATGGCCAGGAAACATATGAAAAAATGCTCATCGTCACTAAGGATCAGGGAAATGCAAATTGAAACCATAATGTGATACCACTTTACTCCTGCAAGAATGGGCATAATAATAAAAAAAAATAGATGTTAATGGAGATGTGATGAAAAGGGAACACTTTTACACTGCTGGTAGAAATGTAAACTAGTACAACCACTTTGGAAAACAATGTGGAGACTCCTTAAAGAACTAAAAAGTAGAACTACCATTCGATCCAGCAATCCCATGCTGGGTGTCTACCCAGAGGAAAAGATGTCATTATACAGAAAAGATACTTGCACACACATGTTTATAGCAGCACAATTCACAATTGCAAAACTGTGGAACCAGCTGAAATACTCATCAATCAACGAGTGGATAAAGAAATTGTAGTATATACATATCATGGAATACTAATCGGCCGTAAAAAGGAATGAAATAATGGCATTCACAGTGACCTGGATGGGACTGGAGACCATTATTCTAAGCGAAGTCACTCAGGAATGGAAAACCAAACATTGTACATTCACACTCATAAGTGGAAGCTAAGCTATGAGGACACAAAGGCATAAGAATGATACAATGGACTTTGGGGACTCAGGAAGAAGGATGGGAAGGGGGTGAGAGATAAAAGACTACACATTAGGTACAGTGTACACTACTTGGGCGATGGGTGCACCAAAATCTCAGAAATCACTAAGAAACTTACTCATGTAACCAAACAACCTGTTCCCCAAAAACCCTTGGGAATTATTAGATCCTTCTAGGGGTCTAATATACTCAAAGTTGAAGTCAGACTTTCTCTTAATGTCAGACACACCTACACGAAGGACCTAAATCCTAACTAGAGATTTTTGGTGAACATGGAAATGAAACAAAGGAAGTTGTGCTTACAGCAGATAACCTAATAATGTATCCACCTCACCACAGAGATGCCCTTGGAACCCTACAGCCGTTTAGCCACATCCCTAGGAGCCTTGGCTTTGGAAGTGCAAGTTCCTTCTCCCAAATCTGCTAAGGACACCTGCCTCTGAGCCTGCTTCCACAGGGGACTGTTTCTCTTCTTATCCCTTCCTCAGCACCTCCTTGATTTCCTTTTTCAGACATGTTAAATCAAGTTCCAATCTGATGGGTGCCCTGGGGACCTATTTTCCCTCTTTCTTGCTTATTTATGCTCAGATCTCTTCTGTGTGGATTTCAAAGTTCAGTTCTGAGGGAAAGTCTTATTTCCTGTATGCGGAATAATTCTCAAACAGGAACAGCTGAAGCTGTAGCTTTCCACTTACCTGTGCTGTGGGATCAGCCAAGCTACCTGTGAAATAAGGTCATCCAGGCTGCTCCACCCATGGGTTCCTTCATATTCTTAGCATCAGTTGGTTGTGTTTGTTCCCAAATCCCTTAATGCCAATTGTACTAGATATTGTAACTTTATAGTTTAATTATAAAACATAAAATAGGGCCAGGTGCAATGGTTCATGCCTACAATCCCAGCACTTTACCAGGGTGAGGAGGGAGGACTGCTTGAGGCCAGGAGTTTGAGACCAGCCTGGGCATAGTGAGACCCCTGTCTCTAAAAAATTTTTTTAAAATAATAAGCTGGGCATGGTGGTGTGTGCCTGCAGGCTCAGCTACTCAGGAGGCTTGCTAGAGTCCAGGAGTTTGACATTGCAGTGAGCTATTATTGAGCAAGACAACTACAAATTTTATAAATTTAGGGCTTGCACTCAAATTGGTCTACAGCTATCTTTATTTTTGAGACAGGCTCTCACTCTCCTCCATGCTGGAGTGCAGTGGTGCGATCACAGCTCACTGCAGTCTCAATCTCCCCAGGCTCAGCCTCTTCCACCTCAGCCTCCCAAGTAGCTGGTACTGCAGGCATGCACCACTACACTCTGCTAACTTTTTTAGCTTTTTTTTTTTTTTTTTTGCAGAGACAGGGTTTCATTTTCATTTACTAAAAACGGGAGATTGTGAACAACACCTACAGATGTGCTTTATGCATAAAACCAGTAGGAAGGAATATTAAAAAGACATTGTCCCCACACCAAAAGATTAGTTGATAAACGTATGTTTATGTCTTCTAATAGGAAAGAAAATGTTTAAACTAATGTTAAAACAATTCTTACAATTCCTTCCTTTAACTTTTTTGATTTCCTGACCAAAGAAGTCAGGTAAGAGTGATTCAAATGTAAATATGAGTAATGACAATAACATAATTATAATGGCTACCATCCATGAAACTACATTTTGTAACAAATATAGGTTATTATTTAAATGTAACATTAACTTCACTTATTAATATGCCATTACAGATTATCTTCTAAAGCAATGCATAAGCAAGTAGACCTTCTGGCTCAATATTTCTGTTTTCTCCCTTCACTTCGCTTGGGATGTTTAGTATAAGTTGCAGCAGCAACCGCAGGGAATTTCTACCTTGAGCACCAGTTTCACCAAACTTTCTGCTCCTTCCCTGTGGCCAGGAGGCTCTGCTTGGTTCAGATGCACCCTTTGTTAGGTGGTGTGCAGAGACTGGTTTTCTTTTGTACCTTTACGTGTCATCTGGAGTAAAAGAGAAGGAAACAATTCCTTGTCTGATTAGAGGAGCCCTTGCTTGAGGACTCCCCATGCCAGTGGCTTGGGTGAACACTACATCTAATAACACATGCTCTGTCTTGAACAAGTTTATCCTCGGCCTCCGCAGAATCACATTTTGGACCAGGAACTCCAAAGCCCTTTGTGACTCACTGAGGCAACATTTCTTGTTAGGTTTCCACTCCTCCCAATTTCTTTCTGTGAGTTTTTCCTTGTTCTGCCTTCAGGTTCTCTGTCTTTCCGTCCCTCTAGTCCTGATGTCTACAAGGGCAAGAACCCACTGATTCCTAAATCTAGGAGTTGGGTGTCCAGTTCCTACTGTGCTCTATATTCTAAGAAGGTAAAGAGTGAAGTTTAAATAATCTCTTAGAAGTAGGGACTCAAGGAACTCAAGTTAAGTCACAAACCACTGTGTGGAGACAATAAAGCCACAATTTCAGGGTTGGGGAGGGGCAGAAAAAAACATCAAAAATGGTCCTTTAACAATTTGCTGTATTATATTAGAAATGTTTATTGGAAAAATATCCAGGAACATATACCTAAAATCTAATATACATAAGAGACTTAACAGGAGAAATGGTAACACGTTTTATATTAATCTTGAAAAATCAATTTCCATTAATAAATAGAAGCACAGGAAACAAGTTGAAAACAGCATAGATCAGGATGTCTTTTTTTGAAGAAAAAAGATGGTGTTGCTTTTCATAATTACAAGAAATGGATAATAATATTTTAAATGAGTTAACTTTGGTCCATCATGCTTACTTCATGGTGTGCAGAAAACAGCACTTGAATGATTTTTTTCCCTTAATTTGTTCTAAATTACAGCAAAGTGCTCTGCAAGAAACAAGTGCTTGTGTTAATTAACTCTGAGTAAAGAAGGTCACCGGTATACACTGGGCTCATTTTGTGGTCTTAGTTACTGGCGTTTTTCTGCAATTAGAATTCATCATTAGGTATTATAGGCACATGTGAATTTTCACTTTTTTAAATCCAGAATTTCAGATATTAGGCATATTTTAAAATTTTTCTCTAAAAATATTTTGACTTCAAGCTAAAAACTTGCTTTCTAGCTCAAAAAATATTAAAGAAAGCTGTTTTTTCTAACATTTCCTACAGTTTAATACATATTGCTTATTAAGCCCTTCTCTACTTCTGACAGAATTAATCAGCCCCCCTCCCTTTTTCTCTGATTCTCTTCCTCTTGATATTATTTATGTCACATTGTATTGCACTTATTATTTACATATTCCTCTCCCCCAAGACTGAGTTCTATGAGGGAAGAGATGGGGGGTTATCACTATTTATAGCCTCAGAGTACAGGACACTTTCTGGACCACAGTAGGATCTAAATAAATGTTTACTGACCAGAATTGCTTATTAATATATTTTAGGTGCTGCCCATATACATTAACATAACAGTGCTTGCTAAGATACGTTAAAGTATGTAAGACTTCCCCATTTAGGTTTTCACTTTCTAAATCAAAGGTTGGCAAACTTCCTGCAAGGTCCGGAAAGTAACTATTTTAGGCTTTGTAGGCCATTCGGTCTCTGTTGCAACCACTCAGCTCTGTCATGGAAGCATGAAAGCAGTCATGCTCAATATGTGTGTGAATGGGGATGGCAGTGTTCCAATAACTTTAGTTTCAAGATGGGCTGCAGGCTAGATTTGGCCCTGCCAACCCCTGCTCTAAATCCTTGAAAGGTAGGGAAAGAGGGAATAAATATTTCAACCATGTATCTTGATAATCCCTACAAAATTTCTTATAAATGTTGGCAATAATTCTGATGTACATGCCATTTTGCAAATGTCTCCCAATTTTTCTTCTCTAAGAATAGAATGGAAACTAAGTGAGTTTTTCCCTGCCATACCCTATTAATACTAAGGTATAAGGTTGTAGGGGATAAGCAGGAATATGAGAATTAGAAGTGCTGATGAGATAGGGAAGTGACACAAAAGAAGACTGCAGATTAAAACGAGCAGCAGATGAAAGTCAGCGTGGCCTGCAGCAAGATGTGTCTGGGTCCTAATGCTGAAGCGGATGGTGTGTTAGGTAGGCTGGAGACACACAGGATTTTGCCCTGCTTCTCATCTGAGACAGGAGAGAAAAAAGAGAAAGTAGTCCTCAAACTTTTTGGCTTACATATAAATTTAGAATTGTGAAAGAAGGCATATCACTTCACAAACTTCTAAGTTGACAGCCAACATTTTTTATAATTAGGATGCAATTTTCAGAATATTATTACTCATGATGTTTAAAAATAAAAGGGCCTTGCCACCATTTTAATATATCCAATGGAACCTAATATCATAGCAAAACGTTAACTTTTTATATTGAAACAATTTTAGGTTTATAGAAAAATTGCCAATTTATTCCAGAAAGTTCTTGTACAGCCTCCCTTGGCTTGTTCTAATGGTACATCTCACAAAACCATGGTACAATGATCAAAACAAAGAAACTGATACTGGCACAATACTATTAATTAAACTACAGACTTCGCTTTCCCATTTCCCCATAATGTCCATTTTCTGTTCCAGGATCCAATTTAGGATTTCACCTTGCACGTCGTTGGTATGTCTCTTTAGTGTCTCCAATCCTTGACATTTCCTCAATCTTTCCTTATCTTTCATGACCTGGACATTTTTGAAGTGATCATTTATTTTGTGAAATGTTCCTTAACTTGGATTTGTCTAACGTTTTTTCATAATTAAATTTAGATTATGCATATTGGGGAGGATACCAAAGAAGTCATGTGACCTTCTCAATGCATCATACCAGGGGGTACATGATGCTGATGTGGCTTATTACTGTTTCTGTTAACCTTGATCCCTTGATTAAAGAAGTTTCTCTAATGTAAAGTTATTACTTTCCCTTTGTAATTAGTGATTATCTTGGGGGAAATACTCTAAGGTTATGCAAATATTGTTTTTTCCTCAAACATTCACCCATTAACTTTAGCACCAACTGGTAGATCTTGCCAACAACAGTTATTACTGTTGTGTTTTCCTAACAGAGATTTTTGTTTCTTCCATCTCTTCTACATTTAGTAATTGGAATTCTACTGTAGAGAAGAACTGTTACTTCTCTCCTTTTCATTCATTCATTTATTCATTCATTCATTCATTCACTCATTCAATTGTTTACATTAGTATGGACATTCATTCAATTGTTTACATCAGTATGGGCACATGGATTATAACCCATACAATAAATATCCATATTTGTTGGATAATTATTTTATGGATTATAATCTGGTATTATAATTTTTTTTGCACCAATTGTTCCCACTTTTCCATTGGGGAGCTCCTTCAGGTTGTCCCTGTACCCTTCAGATATGCCCCATCTTTTTGTGAGCACCTCCTTATTTTCTGCCATCACAAGATATTCCAGTTTCATGTTGTATTTTCCTACCATAGACCTGGAATCAGCGACTTTCTCAAGAAGCCTAAGTTCCTTTGACTGGAGACACTACAACAATTTGAATTCTATCATAATCTATTTTAAAATAGAAATACACACAAATAACCTCTTCAGCAAGTCAGAGATATTACTTTCTTTCAATCTTGTAATTCCATTCCAACTCCCCCACAGAATTTTATCCTAATGAAATATACTTTTATTTGTGAAATATTTTATTCATTACCTTGTCATATTTTGCTGCAGTAAAAATATGTATATAAATTAAAATTATTTTTTAAGAAGTCTCTGTGAACATAGGCTCTATGTATTATACATTTTCTTCTATTTTGAGTTGTCATTCCAATTATTGTTAGTATGCAATTGATCAGAACAAGATAAATATGGTACAGAGATTAAAATAAGATTAGTATATGTCAAACTAAAATGATAGCAAATGGATCTCTTAATGAAATGGATGTATCATAGATAAAAATTAATTAGTATTAATTAAAAATTGCTAGTATGCATCAAGGTTCAGCATCAATTCTGTTCTCTTTTTTTGTACATATACCCGCTGAGAAACTCTAGTAGAGATTGCTAGTGCTAACTGCAGTCAGTTATCCTCTCCTTCCTGAGCACACAAAGCAGAAGACTTCTTGGACTTCCTTTCAGTTAGGTTAGGTCATGTGACTCATTCCAGCCAGTGACATGCGAGTGGAAGTGCCACGTGTTGCTTCCTAAACCTGGGAACTTAACAGATCTCTAGTGCCATGGCAGCATTGGAAGGCCCATGTTCTGCAGGTAGGACACAGCCTGGATCTGTGAGTTACTGCTTGGAGGCAAGTGTCCTGATCATAACAGGCTTCACATGACCAAGAAACTAACTTCTGACTTTTGTTTTTAATCATTAATATTACAGGGGATGTTTCCACAGCATACTCTAACTTATCCTGTCTAACATATAAACTTTGTTGATATAAATAAGTAGATGAGAATAAAATGACGTTTGTTATAACAATATCCCTCTATTACTTGAATTCCTTTCTCCCAGTTGCCAAAAAACAGTGATTCTACATTAAATAGATGTAATGATTTATTATCTATCAACTAGCTGCTTGGTTATGTCCTCCTTCAGTTTTCCTTAAAGCAAAGAACTGGAAACATGCTATTTGCAAAATGATTTGTTACCCAGTCATTAGAATGATTCATGTCAATTTACTAGACATAAAACTAAAAGGCTTTACTAAAACTTTTCAAATAACTGTTCATTATGTCTATTACTCTTTCACTTACAGGCACCACGCTTTACCTGATATACAAATGAAGGGTGGGAAAAGTAAAATATTAATTCATTATAGTTTGGTCAATACTATTTTTCTATTAAAATGTCTTTATCATGTTACAAGCTTTAATCAGAACACAAGAGGAGCAGATTTAGTTCATTAAATTAATACAAAATGTTCACCATAAAACTTAATTGGTAAAGTCAATCCTTGTTGTCAAACCAATGAGCCAAATTAAAAAAAAATTTTCAGAAAAGTTCTGATTTCATTTTTCAGTTTAAATAAGCTTGTTAATACTCATGCCCACAACTCACATGGAAATCTAAGATAAATCAAGTCTTGGGACTTTCTTCTGGATAACATAAGATGTTAGGTTCTTAGCAACATGCTCTTCACTTTGTTTTCACCAGACTTTTTCTGTAGCATATTCTTTGACAATAGTCAGGGAACAGATGAGATAAATCTTCCAATGAAGGTAGTTTGCACTCCAGCTGTTTAAAGGTATAATACATATTAATTCGGAATATGGACATGGGGCAAAATAACTCATTTGTAAGTCATCACTTCAATTTTAACAGAAAAATGCCCTAACACAGACAAAGATATGAGGACCTACATAATGAGTTTACGGTTTTTTGTTTTTTTTTTTAATTAAAAGAAGCTTCACTGACATCAATATTTTGAATATTTTTCTTTGGAGCCATGGAGAATTTTCCCATAGTAAGATCTGAAATGAAAGTCATTTCTTTTTCTTTTTAAAAGTAGAGAAAGGCATTTGTGTAAAAAGAGGTGGGAAAGAAGAACCAGGAGTGCTCTCAGGCAAATCAGTTTTAAGAAAAAATATACATGAAGATTCTGGGAATTAAGTTTCTTAAAATACACATGCTCCTGTATTCCTTATGTTGGGGATCCAGCCCAGACACAACCTAAGAAGTAACGAGGGTTGGTGGAGACAAAGACATTGAGAGACAAAAGTAAGAGTGCATAAAGGTGGGCTCCCAGGGGGCCAACGCAAGTAGGAGGATGGGAAGGCCCTGAGCACTGGAGACCTACACTGTTTATTGAGTGTTTAAACAGAGAAGCATGTGCTCAGGGATGTGGGGGGTGAAAAGGAAGTGAAGCATCAAGCAGATGATCTATAGCTGTGGTGGTCTGGCATTTCCTTGGGAGGTTTAGAGCGTGCTCTACTTTAGATACAGTGAGTAAACAGTTAGAGGAAAATGCTGCAGCTAGAGCCAGCAAGTCTGGTCTAATTCTGGTGCTTCAAAGAGGTCTTCCTTGCTTTGAGCATGGAGCATGGTCTTCCAGTAACTCCCATCCTGTGTCAGATAAGCAGACTATGCGTCAGCCTTTCTCTCAACACCTTAAGCATGTGTCCCCAGTTTGAAGACTGTTGACTTAGAGGATATATTTCAACAGCCTGTGGAAGCTCCATAAAGATGGGTCTCAAGTTAACATCTTCCTGTCAGCCACAGATCCGAGGCCCATGGAGTACTCCAGACCTTAGGAGACAGAGGGCTGGCTATATAGGAGGAGCATGGACCCATGAATAACTGAATGGAGCAAAGTCCTCTTGCCAGCCTATGCAGGTGTGGGTGAGAAATAAATCTTTGCTGTGTTAAGCTACCAAGACTGTGGGATTGTTTGGTATGGCATTTCGCCTCCTTGTACTAAAAGAGTAGCTGATGGTGGCCAGTAGGATCTCACCACTGCAGGAGCGAAGTGACTGCCTTGTAGCCAAGAACTGCAGTGTCCAGATGGGAATTCAACAGGAGACACAGCCAATTCTTGAGAGATATGGCAGCACCAGGGACAGCCAGAATGAAGCCAAATCAAAGAGAACAGACTACAGATTAAAGCAACTACAGACTTCTCAGCAGATGCCAGCAGAATGCCCAGGAGTGAGGCCAGACAGCTATTCTCAGTGGACACCGGATAACATACAACCACAGTCAGTTACCACCTTCTGCCCTCAACACTACCAGGACACAACAAGTTCTCATATATCCAACCACCATTTTGCGAAGAGTAAAGAAAGAAACTTCAAAAGACTGAATGTTTGAATAAACATTCAGTTTAACCTTATCCTTAGTAAGGAGTGGATCCTTCAAGAGAAGAAATATTTAACCTGAAAGAAGACTGTTGTGATTGTAAGAGCCCAAGACACTGTTAATTGGAAAAATCCAAGAATTTCCATTACCCAGATTCTATAAAGATGTTCAGGTTAGGGCTGGGCGCGGTGGCTCACGCCTGTAATCCCAGCACTTTGGGAGGCCGAGGTGGGTGGATCACGAGGTCAAGAGATCAAGACCAACCTGGTCGACATGGTGAAACCCTGTCTCTACTAAAAATACAAAAAATTAGCTGGGCATGGTGGCGCGTGCCTGTAATCCCAGCTACTCAGGAGGCTGAGGCAGGAGAATTGCCTGAACCCAGGAGGCAGCGGTTGCGGTGAGCCGAGATCGCGCCATTGCACTCCAGCCTGGGTAACAAGAGCGAAACTATGTCTCAAAAAAAAAAAAAAGATATTCAGGTTAGTCAAAAAAAAAATGGACTTTTGTAGGGGCATATTAACTATGTGTAAATTTGTGATCCTGCTACTTATTTGGCATAAATGTAAGGAGTACAAGTGTAATTTTTTTTTTTTTTTGAGACGGAGTTTCACTCTTGTTACCCAGGCTGGAGTGCAATGGCGCGATCTCGGCTCACCTCAACCTCCGCCTCCTGGGTTCAGGCAATTCTCCTGCCTCAGCCTCCTGAGTAGCTGGGATTACAGGCACCCGCCACCATGCCCAGCTAATTTTTTGTATTTTTAGTAGAGACGGGGTTTCACCATGTCGACCAGGATGGTCTCGATCTCTTGACCTCGTGATCCACCCGCCTCAGCCTCCCAAAGTGCTGGGATTACAGGCTTGAGCCACCGCGCCCAGCCACAAGTGTAATTTTGTTACATAAATACATTATGTAGTGGTAAAGTCGGGGCTTTTAGTGTAACCATCACCCAAATAGTGTATAAAATACCCATTACCTGCTACTTTTTTTTCCTTTTCATCTTATAGCTATAAAATCTAGTTCGGATTAAAAATACATGTGAGGCCGGGGGTGATGGCTCACGCCTGTAATCCCAGCACTTTGGAAGGCCAAGGTGGGCGGATCAGAAGGTCAAGAGATTGAGACCATCCTGGCCAACATGGTGAAACCCCGTCTCTACTAAAAATACAAAAATTAGCTGGGCATGGTGGTGTGCACCTGTAGTCCCAGCTACTCGGGAGGCTGAGACAGGAGACTCGCTTGAACCAGGGAGTTGAAGGTTGCAATGAGCTGAGATCGCGCCACTGCACTTCAGCCTGGCGGCAGAGGGAGACTCTGTCTTAAAACAACAATAACAACAACATACATGTGAAAAAAAGTTTCAAAAAATGCATATATATGAATATAGCCAAATATTTCAGTACTATTTCTGCAGTTTCAGTAACAGCAAGAAGTGTGTGATCTGTCCATGGGTCCAGATTCTCTGGAGATGTTGTTCAATACTAAACATCAAACTATGGAGCATTGACAAACAATACAGTTTTGTTCTGCAAAATCACTTTCCTAATGGCGTGTTTTGTCAAATTATTATATGTGGCTATATACCTTGACTGGAAGTCTGGTTGATTAGCAGGTTTTACCAAGTCCATTGAAGAGAATAGAACTTTAATCACTCAAAAGATTGTTAAATTGGGCTTTTATATCATGTGGTGAATTCAAGCCAATTATTCTTTTGAGTCATAAATATGCAACTGCCACATAAGATAACATCTTTTAAAAAATGAAGTCCTAATACTTTTAAAAAAATTATGGAGGTAGACTCTCCCAGTGTTTAAACACTTATACGGCAGTAGGAAAGCTCATTCTCTTCCAAAAGAGCTGCTTTTTGGAAGCTGGATTAACCACTAAGGATTCATTCTTAGTGGTATGCTCTTCAAATTCGATTTCTAATGATGATGGTTTGCCTATTAGAAATTCATTCATACTTTCTCTCAGAGCTCCCCCTTGTGACTAATGGCCCCTGTTTTGGGGCAGTTGGTTGTAATAATTAAAATGCACACTCCTTAAGGAGGCCCTGAGAGTCCCCCAGCCTCCCTCTATCATGGAACCTTACTTCATTTTCGTAACCACTCGCTATTTTCTGCATATGCATTTCTTTACTGAGTTACTGTCGGTTTTCCCTCATTAGAAAATAAATGCCATGAAAAGATAGACCTCACCCCAACTTGCTCACCTTAGCACCTCTGTTTCTAGAATGGTACTTTTTATGAGTTGGGGGTCTCATTCAATTGCCTAGGCTGGAGGGCAGTGGTGTGACCACAACTCACTGCAGCTGCCAACTCCTGGGCTCAGCTGATCCTCTTCCCTCAGCTTCCCAAGTAGCTGGGACTACAGGTGCATGCCATCATGCCCAGCACACTTTTTTCTTGATAGAATTCAATAAACACTTTTGTAATGAGTAAATTTTTGGATATTGATTATCAAGCTGTTTTCTTTATAAGAAATTAATAAAGAAAAATAAGATCTGTAATTTTTTATTTACAGACAGTATTATAATCATTATTTACCATCTATACTAACTAGACTAATATAAAAGGAGATGGTTTCCATAAAATAGTTTATTAAATAGAACACCTAAAATCATTTACATAATAGAGATACCTAGATTACTAATTTATTTAGTACTTCTCAAAAATCCTCTGTCTGGTTCTAATGAGACTATAATTCAGATCTTCAGCTCTTCTCCTTTAAATCCAAGTTACATTTGATATCTTCCAGTTGTTAAGAGTATTATATATTATTTCATATCTGTAGTTTTTCAGAAAGTCCATGAGTTTTAACAGTAAAACTGTTAAAGTTTCAATATATTACTTTAAGCTTATCTATAAGACAGTTTAAAATATCCAACTAAATCATCATTTAGTAACTGAAGGTTTAAGGCCACATATTAGCTATATGGTTGTTTATGAAAGTATATTGCTAATGAAGGTCTTTGCCATTTAAGGAAGATGTTTTTCTTTCTCCTTTAGCTTGAGACGTTAGACCTAATAAAAATGAATGTCATCTTAAATATCAGTTGAGAGCCCAGAATCTGTGACCCTTAAGCATAGAAATAAGTATTTTCCAAACTCCTGCTATTAAAAGTGAATTCAAAAGAAACAACTAAGAATCCTCTCAGAAGCCCTTTCCTTTTCCTGTCATATATGAGATTAACTTTTTTTTTTTGCTTCTTTCTGTCTTTCTTAATGCAATGAGTGTGTGTAAATGTCTGAATAGATACCAGATTGGTTTTAAAATTCTCCCAAATTTTAGTAGAGACACATTAATGCAAAAACTATTATTCATATTGGTTTGAGAGTTTTCAATAGGGAGTTTCTTTTAATAGTTCTTGTCTTTCTGAATAATAACCAATGCATAATTTCCCCTTTTTAAGAATGGATCACAGTTTAGGGAAATGAATAAATCAAAACCCATCTGATTTGGTTAAAATTCAAACCAGTAATCACTTCAAGAATAATTAAAATAGTGACCCAATTCACATTCTAATGGCATCTGGGCAGTAAAGGGAAAGGCAGATGAGACTCCTGTTTAGTCTTCTTTACTCACCCGCTGGCTGCGGCATTCTCTGACCTCATTATTATTGTTCACTCTTCTCAAGATCAGGAATGAGAATATTTTCTTCTAAATGTACTGTACTAAAGTTGGTTGCAGGATAGTAAGGATTCCGAAACCCTGCAAGTCTTCTGAAGAAGCCACCATTCTGCTTGTATATGCACAAGGAAAGTGTGACAATGGCCAGAATGACTAGCAGTGTCAGTACTACCGCAAGAGGAATTATGCTGTGACTTGGTCCTGAAAGGAGATTTTTTTTTAAAAAGGAAAACTTCAGTGACGATGAATTAATATAGATACTGTCATACAGTTGCTTTCTATCTTATTTCTAATAAAAATCAAAATGTTCTGTATGGTTTCAAATGTACCTTTTTCTGGCTGCTCCTCTGCAGTGCGAATATCTAAAACCAAATACAAAAATTAAAATGAGTTTTTAAACATTCAGCAAAAATGTCATTGCTTACAGCAGGTGTCAGCAAACTATGGCCCATGGATCAAACCGGGTCACCTGTTTTTATAAAAAATGTTTTACTGGAACTTAGCCACATTCATTCATTGATGTATTGTCATAGCTGCTTTTGTGCTACAATGGCGTGTGACAGAGACCATATGGCTCCCAAAGCCTAAAATATTTACTAGCGGGCCCTTTACAAAAAAAGTTTGTTGAGCTTTGATTTACTGTAATCATCGTTATTAGTGCTCACAAACACACACTTTTTTTTTTTTTTAAAGCCAAGAACTTTCCATTCAGTCTCAGCACTGTGCTGCAATAAATATAGAGTAAAATATAGGCCCTGCATACAAGAACTCACAGTTTTGTTGGGATCTTATATGGAGTTTGTTCAACAATGATAATCTGCCTGTATCTGTGTAAGGATTTTAAAATCAGCATCTTCTCACCTTTGTGATCTCATGGATCTTGGGGAATGAGCAACAACTTCTCCATCCAAAAACTTAAGAGTTCCTGTTTTAAAACTTTCTACTGTAAAAACACATCTTTTAAGTAGATGTTATATCAAAATGTGAACTCTTATTTTTGATCTAGAGAAAGATCCAGAGAATGAACTAGAGGAAGATGAATAAACGGGTTTGTGAGTAAAAGAAGTGCCTTGGGCCGGCTGCGGTGGCTCAAGCCTGTAGTCCCAGCACTTTGGGAGACCGAGGCGGGTGGATCACGAGGTCGGCAGATCGAGACCATCCTGGTCAACACGGTGAAACCCCGTCTCTACTAAAAACTACAAAAAATTAGCTGGGCACGGTGGCGTGTGCCTGTAATCCCAGCTACTCAGGAGGCTGAGGCAGGAGAATTGCCTGAACCCAGGGGGCAGAGGTTGCGGTGAGCCGAGATCGCGCCATTGCACTCCAGCCTGGGTAACAAGAGCGAAACTCCGTCTCAAAAAAAAAAAAAAAAAAAAAGTGCCTTGATGTCCTACTGATGCTCATTCACTCTGATAGACATGAAAAAAGAAAGAATCAACACTGTTACCAATAACAAATCCAGATTTTTATAAAACAGACTTTTTGTTTTTTTTGAGATGGAGTCTCATTCTGTTGCCCAGACTGGAGTGTAATGGTACAATCTTGGTACAATCACTGCAACCTCTGCCCTCTGGGTTCAAGCAATTCTCTTGCCTCAGCCTCCCTAGTATCTGGGATTACAGGTATGCACTACCATGCCCAGATATTTTTTGTATTTTTAGTAGAGATGGGATTTTGCCATGTTGGCCAGACTGGTCTCAAACTCCTGACCTCAACTGATCTGCCTGCCTCTGCCTCCCAAAGTGCTGAGATTAAAGGAGTGAGCCACCGTGTCCAGCCCAGACTTGTTCTTGTAATATAAAAAGAATACCATATAATGTTGCACTGAACTGTTGAAAACATGCATTATTGTGTTTTTATGAAGATACTTCTTTAAAATTGATGTATATCAGATGCACAAATTTTTAGGATACAAGTGATAATTGAATACAGTCATATAATTTGTATAGTGTACTTGGGATAATCATCACTTTAAAGATACATTTTAGAGAAAGACTGTTAAGAGTGTTTGTCCTTAGGATAGAAGCAGTGGGCAGCATGGAAGGAGCACTTGGGAAACTGGGAGTTTTCTCTGTAGTCCTTGATGTAGCCTCAGTTTGGACAGGCACTTTTCCCATCTGCAAAATGGGGATATTTTAATTGCTCCACTACCTTGGAAAGCTGTTGCAAAGGATGAAACAGGTGTTATCTGCATTATAGGAAGCTTTCAAGTTCTGTAAGACATGAGGTGTTTTTGATATTTAAAGGCTAGTGATAATTTGGGCACATTATTTATTAGGCTTAGCCATACTTTTCACACAGAGTTGAGACTCACACTGTGGGGGTTTCAAACACTGGTGCCCAAATCTGCAGTGTTTTCTCCTTCATTCCCAGCACTGAATCAGTCACCAAGGCCAGTGATTCTATCTTCCTATTTCTCCCTTCCTCTTTCATTCCTGTATCAATCACTTAAATTACAAATGTTTCTCTTCATATCCTCATGAGTTCTATTGCTTCATCACAGGTGTCTACAGAACACATAGGGGGTCTGTCTCTTCCACCATGAAGTTCAGCTCTTCAGCCTGGCACTCTGTGAAAGTATCCTACTTTACTGTCCAATTTTATTCTCATCACCCCCTAATGTGAGCTGTTTGCACTCACTGAAACACATTCTTAGCTGCTGCCTTTAATCACACTGGGCCTTTTCCTCTTCTGTTCCAACTTCTATAATTCTCCTCATCCTTTGGGATCCAAAAACCTCATGTTGGAAGCCTTCTCTAGCAGTCCAAGCCACATCAATCCCTCCTTTATAATACTTAGGACATCTAGAAACTGCTGTAATTATTATAGACATTTTCCCGCCATCAGTGATCCTCCTTAACACCCTGTTTTAAAAAACTCTTCAGTTGTTTGCAACTGACTAGAATTTTCCAGCTTAGATTTCTAAAATTTGTTTTTTTATTACTAAACACTAAGTATGTTGCTTATGATTAAGTTAAAATGTGACTTTTATGACGCATTATGCTTGCAGCAGAGAATCACATTTCCTTGTCCGCAACAAATATACATAAGCCTACATTATATTTCCTGAGGCCAAATATAAATCTTAAAAATTCTGAATAGCAGTTGCCTGAATGAAAGTTGCTGGTTTACATTCCTAGTTCTATTTGCTTGAGGGAAACTGCTTTTTTGCCCTTTAGGTGATCAACCAGGGTGACACAAGAAAAATCAGTCTTTAAGTTGATTTATAAGGATTTTTTTCCATATCGCAGAAAGAAGGAGCTGCAATATTCTCTGACTTGTTTGGTACAGAACACGACAATAATGTCAGCATCTATGTAAATACTCTCAAAACTTGGATTTTAAAATCTTTAAATACTAAAGAGGTTGGTCAACATTAGTTAAGATAGAATCAAAATGAAGAATTACTCTCTGACTTTACCTACCTGCCTCCATTTTACATATAAAGCCCTTTTTTTCTTGACATGAGGATAGCTGCCATAATCCTTCAGGGATCCTCAGGGCAACACAATGATGGGGCTTGAAGTAGTCTGTGCCTGGCTTCCGAATGCCCCAGTTTGACTGGTCTGTAGGAGTTCCATCAAACCACTTTATGGTTTCATCTGTGGGAAAATTGTTGACTCATTATGAATCATGTGCATGGTTATCAAACATACTAAGACTGGAGTTAACCATAAAAAGCAGCCCCTGAATTTAATGAGACTCTTGAACTGATGCGTTCAACTCAGTAAATATAGTAAATATAGTCATGAACTCAATAGCAAAAGGTAGGCATTAATAAAGTCGCCTCTTTATTTTAGATACAGTGTTCTAATCTAGTTCATTTAGGTTATCATGTTTCTTAATGTGAGAGTTTGAATTTTGAAATATTCTATATATTTATAATCAATTTAAAGAAATCATTTGATAAACAAAACTAATCGAGTAAAGAAAAATCCTTTCAAGTCCTAACATCTTTATCATTACAAAATGGCTTTCTAAAAATATTTTTCTTTTTTTGAGATAGAGTCTTGCTGTGTTACCCAGGCTGGAGTACAATGGCATGATCTTGGCTCACTGAAACCTCCGCCTCCTGAGTTCAAGCGATTCTCCAGCCTCAGCCTCCTGAGTAGCTGGGATTACGGTGCCTACCACCACGCCTGGCTAATTTTTGTATTTTTAGTAGATACAGTGTTTCACCATGTTGGTCAGGCTGTTCTCAAACTCCTGACCTCATAATCTGCCTGCCTTGGCCTCCCAAAGTGCTGGGATTATAGCATGAGCCACTGCGCCCGGCCTCTAAAAAGATTTTACAGTGAGTTTTTTTAATAGCAAGCCAGCCATGTACCAAGAGGTTAGGGGCAGTAGGAGAGTTCATCTCATATGTGGGCAATAAGGGGGAGTGTACCATCGGAAAATAACTTAAAACTAACAATAAAACTAACTAAAAGTCGGTCTGCTTTTTATTATCACCATCTGCTTGAAATCCTAAACAATGTTGGTGATTAAAAATTCCTCCTTGAAAGGGTAGGCTACCCCCTACCTTGGTACGCCACTGTAACAGGCTCTCCATACCAATTAAAATAATTTTCTTCGAAAGTACCTTTCAATAACCATCAATTACATAAAGAAAATAATACTATGCTTCCATTTTATTACAAACTCTGGTTTTTATGAGTAGCAAATAAGAATCCTAACAGCACAGTTTATCATGGAAACATTTTCATAACTCTGTTGTGCTTTTATAACATTTAGAAACCAGGGATATTTTCAAGTAAATATGGTTTTGGTATGCTATGACTAAGTCTGTGAACACAAAGTTTCAGCCAAGCATCTTCCTGCTAAGGATAAAGGTAAACATGTTATTGTTTCTTAGTTTTTATTTTTGGTATTCCGGGATTGTTTCAAAAGACAAAAGGGTAGAGAAAGACAAAAGGGTAGAGAAAAGCATTCCAATGTTGTTTTTGGAAGATTCCAAATGGCTTTAGGCTTCATGCTATTTTTTAACAGCAAATGTATCCAAGGAGAGTTTTCTGGCTCACAGATGCCATTATCATCAGCTTTAACAACCATGTATTTATTTATGTCCTCTCCTCTACCCAAATCACTTACTGTTACCATCAAATTGAGCATTCAACCAAACCATCTGGACAGAAGAACCAAAAGCAAACAGCTCTTCTAGGAGAAATGCATTTTCAGCCTCATCCTTGATTGTTAAAAGATTAGATCCTATAAGAGAGACAAGTAGCAAAGGAATATTTGTGTTTACATGTAAATATACTTGAAAATATGTTTCCTATACCATTATTTGCAAAGCACAGGTTTTGAAAAGTGAAAATTTCCTTGTAAATAAGAGATTTTAAATTAAAAAATTTAAAGAAAACCACATTTTAAAAAAGATACAAGCTGCACTTCAGAAGTTAAGGCATAGAATATTAATTTTAGGGAACATTCAAAATGCATAATGCAAATGCATGCAAAAGGAACGTTTCCTTCGGAAAGTGCAGTGTGCTGAGACATCATCTTAGGTTTCCAAATTCTATACTGGACATTGTTTCATATAGTAGCTGTCCTCCAAACAAGCAACTTCAGTAGTATTTATTTTTTCAATAGTTTTTGTTGCTCCTAAAGTCACTAAATAATGGGATGAATAAAGAAATCCACACTGTTTACTGAATTGGCAAGTAGGAGCACATGAAAGCATTTTTACCATCACAAAAACAATTACCTTCCTTTCTGCAAAATTCATGAGCAGCCTCAAAACTCATACCGTCTAGGACTGTAGAAAAACTGTAGCAATTACTTTTAAATTTTATCCAGGGAATAGATGTTTCTGAGCACAACTCTGGGTGTTCAGATGGTCTTGTTTCTGTGAAGAAAAATCAGTTATGATTTCAGAGTGGTGACTGGGTTTATTTATTGAGATAAATATTACATTACATTCTATAAAAGACCAAGATAAATAAAAGTAACAAGATTTTCATGGTAATACTCTAAAAGATTGGGTTTCATGTAAATGATTATAAAACTAGAACCAGCTTATAGCATTTCTGACAGAAATAATCTTTACCTAAACATAACAAGATATGTTAATGCACAGCTTTGGAGGCTTGGTTTGGGTCTGCCTGGGTGAGGGTGGCTGTCTTTCATGTTTACAATTAGCATCCTAAAGGTTGGAAGAAGCAGGGGCTATGACTCCCAGAGAGAGTGGCAGCTGACTGATACTGGCAAGAGATTTCCAAATGTATGCGCTTCATGCAGTGTTGTGTATCACAGATTTGAAAAGTCCTTACCCACTAATAAACCTATGAAAGAAAATAATGCATTCAATAAAGTATCATAACATAGCATAACATAAAATAAATGAGGGAACTCCAGGGGGACTTTATTTGAGAGAGCTAGCGTGAGAGTCAGACACATCCATGCTGTGATCCTGGCTCCACCACTTTCTAGCTGTGTGGCCATGGGCATGTTACCTTGCACTTGGTTTCTTTAGCTATAAAAGAGAGCTAGCAACAAAAACTTTAAAAATAATATTTTAAATTAAAAAACTTTTTTTAAGAGACAAAGTCTCGCTCTGTCACCTAGGCAGAAGAGCAATGGCACAATCACAGCTCACTGCAGCCTCAAACTCCTGGGGTCTAGTGATCCTCCAGCCTCAGCCTCCTGAGTAGCTCGGACTACAGGCACATACCACCAACCCTAGATAATTGAAAAATTATTATTATTATTATTTGAAGAGAAGGGGTCTCACTGTGTTAACCAAGCTGGTCTCAAACTCCTGGCCTGAAGAGGTCCTCCTGCTTCTGCCTCCCAAAGTGCTGGGATTACTGGTATGAGCCACATGGCCACCTTCCTTACAAGTTGAGAAGTTTAAATGAGTAAGAGCCTCACAAAGCATTCAATAAATGCATTGTTATTGAAAGGTCACAATTCCAAGAAAAGGCAAATGCTAACAAAAAAAAAAAAAAAAAAAGGGAAAACGGGAAGGACAGCTTTTATGGTGTTTCAGAAGCAAAATTAGCTTTTCCAAGATATAGGGGGCTATCATTTACTTTTAATCCTGAATTGTTTTGATCTAACGATATATAATTTGCATGTTATTTGATACAGTACCCAGAATGTAAGTAAATACAAGCACTTTTACTAAATGAGATATTTAAAAGGAGGCCAGCCTGTGTTAGGGAATTCTATGTAGGAAACTTGATTTCTATTCTTGGTACTGGTGATGGACAGCTGTGAGATATTCAGGAAGCTATTTAATGCTCTGAGTTTACATTTTATGTTTAATCAAGGGGTAGACCAGGTGAACTTTAAGTGTAAACGAGATATTCTATAAAGTGCAGAGCCAGATATCTAGTAAATATCCAAACAATATCATCATCATCATCATCATCATCATCATGGCTCTGGAATCCTATCAGTCATTGACTTAAACCTGCATCCTGGCCGGGCGCGGTGGCTCACGCCTGTAATGCCAGCACTTTGGGAGGCCGAGGCGGGTGGATCACGAGGTCAAGGGATCGAGACCATCCTGGTTAACATGGTGAAACCCCGTCTGTACTAAAAATACAAAAAAAATTAGCTGGGCATGGTGGTGCGTGCCTGTAATCCCAGCTACTCGGGAGGCTGAGGCAGGAGAATTGCCTGAACCCAGGAGGCGGAGGTTGTGGTGAGCCGAGATCGCGCCATTGCACTCCAGCCTGGGTAACAAGAGTGAAACTCCGTCTCAAAAAAAAAAACAAAAAACAAAAAACATGCATCCTCAAACTCCTCCATACATGCTTGAAGCCCATGTTTCTCATCTAATTTCCCACCCCTCCTTTACACCTAATCTGCATTCAGGCAAATCCAAACATCAACTTTGCTTTACACAAGCCCCGTCGTGTCTTCCTTCCACATTTTCATCCAGCTTTTCTCAGAATGCCTTTCCATGTCTTATTATTACCCATCTACACCCACCCATTTATCGACTTGTATTTCCTTTCCTCCCTCCCTCCCTCTCTCCCTTCTTTTGTCCTTCCCTCCCTCCCTCCCTCCCTCCCTCCCTCCCTCCCTCCCTTCCTTCCTTCCTTCCTTCCTTCCTTCCTTCCTTCCTCTTTCTTTCTTTCTCTCTTTCTTTCTTCTTCTTTCTTTCTCTTTCTTTTCTTTCTTTCTCTTTCTTCTCTCTCTCTCTCTTTCAACAGAGTTTCACTCTTGAAGCCCAGGCTGGGGTGCAATGGCGCTGACCACAACCTCTGCCTTATGGGTTCAAGAGATTCTTCTGCCTCAGCCTCCCAAGTAGCTGGGATTACAGGCATGTGCCACCACACCCTGCTATTTTTGTATTTTTAGTAGAGATGGGGTTTCTCCATGTTGATCAGGCTGGTCTCAAACCCCCATCGTCAAGTGATCCACTCATTTCAGCCTCCCAAAGTGCTGGGATTACAGGTGTGAGCCACAATTTATCAAGGCCCATCTGCACTGCCGTGTCCTTCAAAAAGCCTTTCTACCTTTCTCCAAATGGATACGATACATTCTTTTTCTTGATAACCCCCATAACATTTGCTATCTCTCTTACATCATTGGTAGTTCTACTTTTCTTTATGTCACCACCCAGACCAGAGGCTTCGTGAAGACAGAGACTTCTTACTATATTCATCCTTATGTCCCTTGCTTAGCACAGTGCCTTGCATACAGTAGTTACATAAAGTGTATTCTTGAGTTGAGTAGAATTGAACCTACCAGGGAGCACATGACAAATGGCACCTTGCAGAAATGATTCACAGGCTGTGCTATGCCAGCGTCCATTGGTGTCAGCAAAAACACAGTCACCAAGGAAGGATGACTCCTCGTCTTTCCAAAAAGTGAAAGAGGATTTGGTGCCGTCAGACCAGTCAAAATTAAGACCATTCTGTGGAGGAAAACTGAGCCATCATTTCTTTGCCACGACTGCTGGCAGCATCATCCAATGTTATCTGAGCATACTACAACTCCCACATCGATTTATATTTCCACACCCCATTTTAAAGAGGGTCTAGGACATCTGTGAATACAGCTTGACAAACAGGAGTATCTGTCACAAATAAGATCTTTTTCTGATTTTTAGGAATTCTTGACTCCCTATCACTATGATTTTCTAGTGAGCAATCAGAGTGAAATTGGACCAGTACCTTGTCTTTTACACTGAACTAAATTTCAGATTAAGCAAATTCTCAAACATAAAATCTACAATATAAATGTGTTAAAGAAAATTTGGTTAAGTTTTTTTGTACTGTTGGTGCGGGGAAAACCTTTCTAAGTCACAGAACATCCAGAGACCATAAAGCAAAATTGACTACATAAAGTTAAAACATTCTGTACTACATGAGGCAATAAGTAATTATAAAATAATTATTTTTTACCTCTCCCACGGGCAAGGATTAAAATTTTGATAATACTTGGTGTTGGCAAAAATGTGGAAAAACTAGATGTTTTCACACGCTGTTGTTGGCATATAAATTGGTGCAAACTCTTGGAGGCAATTTGGTAGTACTTGTCAAAATTTAAAGTGTGCTCAGCAATTTTACTTCTAAGAATTTATCGGCCAGGTGCAGTGGCTCACATCTGTAATCCCAGCACTCTGGGAGGCTGTGGCAGATGGATCATGAGGTCAAGAGATCGAGACTATCCTGGCCAACATGGTGAAACCCTGTCTCTACTAAAAGTAAAAAAGTAGCTGGGCTTGTTGGCACCTGCCTGTATTCTCAGCTACTGGGGAGGCTGAGCAGAGGAATCTCTTGAACTGGGGAGGTGAAGGATGCAGTGAGCTGAGATTGTGCCACTGCACTACAGCTTGGGCAACAGAGTGAGATTCTGTCTCAAAAAAAGAAAAGAAAAGAAAAAAGAATTTATCTTACTGGCACAGATATATTTGTTGTGCATTGTTTATAACTGAAAACCTGAGAAGAACCCAAATGTCTATTCACAGGAGTATGGTTTAATAAGTTGTGGTATATCCTTACATGCTGAGTTCTAAAGAATGAATGAGATTTTTATATACTGACATGTGAAGTTGTAAAAGATATATTAAATAAAAAAGCAAGTTTAAAGACAGCATGTGTAATAGGATCTCATTTGTGTTTGAAAAACAATATACATGTTCTTCCATTACATGAGTATATATGTGTATATGGAACACATATATGTGTACATGGAAAATTTCTAGATAGCACACAAGACAGTATTCACAATTACTAATATTAGGGAGTAGAACTAGGGCTCAGGATAGACTAGAGTTTACTTTTCGCTACTTTGAGTGTATAATATTTTTATTTAAAAAATGAAAATAACATATTCTCTAAACCACATCCCTAGAGGAAAATAAAACCTAAAGTGTTTAATTATAAGGGGTACTCAACTAATTAATAATCACATTTCTAGGCAAGAAACATGATTCATTATTTTTCTTGGGGATTTTTTAACTGCCACAAATTCCTAAATGCAGTGCTTGAGTTCCAGATGTGTTCCACTGCACATGCAAGGCAGTATTGGGGCACTCGGAAATTTTCAGAGAGCCATTGAAGGGTATTAATTAGGCAAGTGAATGTTTACCCTAACGAGGTGTGCACTCTTATTTTGTAGGCATAGGCTGCTCATAGGTTGGTCAAATAATCATATAAACCAATTACTTAAGCGTTATGTTTACTATTATTTTGGGGATTTGTTTTTCAGTGCTAATTTCAGTGGCTACATCATGGAGGAGGAAGATGCTAAAGTTAATTATGCAAGGATGTTTCAAGGGCTTTAGGATACCTACATCTGTGGAGAACAGTCCAATCCAGTGGGCATATCCCAGCCGGTTGAGGACAACAGTGAGGAAGGACTGGTGATACTGGTCTGTGATGCTGACCAGCTGTGCTCCGTGCATCAGGCAGGTTTTTATTGCTGCATACCAAGTCATATTTGCATTAATTATTTTGTAAGTTCTGTTTCCATATTCTAAGGTATTAGGGATTGGATATATGTCAGATGTGTTTACACTGTGTCCAGAAGTATCTAGAACAAGAACAGCAACAAAAGTCATTTGTAGCATCTGGATGAGAAAGGAGGAGGCAAAGCTTAGCATGGATCCTTGTCACTATGATCCATGTTGATCAGACAGCTTTCTTCTGGAACTGACTATTTCAAAATGAGGACCCTATTTGAAAATGTGGGTGATGCTAAAAAATGAGAAGACCTAGGAAACTTAATAAATAATTTTTCAAAAACATAAACATAGATTGAACCATTTCTAGAAGATTTCTCATTTTTGACCATCCCTTATCAAATTGACTATTTTTTGGTGAACTGATGATGATCTTTGTAGGTGGATTTCACTCCACTAACTGCACTTGGCTTAATCCACAGTGCTTTGGCAGACCTTAATGCTTATAAATTGCAGAGAGGCACATGTTATGTAGTCATATGCTGCATTGCAAACCTAATATTACGGCTGCATATTATCAGGTAAAGTACTTGATTACACTTTTGAGACTGATGGTCACTATTATGTTTAATGTTTGCATGTATACTTCTAAAAATAATTTAAAAATAAAGTTAATAAATTCTTAGAAATACACACTGTTCTTATAAACAGTTACTATTAATATGTCACCTGTCAGAGCCAAGGTTTACAAATTAAAAGGCAAGGTTTGTTCACATGTGATCATTGGTGGTTGAGTGTTCATGAGAGTCTGTGACCATGTGAAAACCAAGCCTGTGTTTTACAAACAGGTGTTTCCTCTCTGATATGTGCATTTGCCTTTCTGTTCTGTATTATGTTGTGTACTAGAATAGACTTAAGTTTTAGAAACTCTAATGGACAAAAAACAAAGTAAGAGTTTTTGTACCTTCTGATCCAAAGTGACTTGAACTTCTGTGTACTACATTTGGTTTTACTACATTTGGTGTTAGAAAGAAGCATGTGAAGTATGGGTAGATCACAAGACCTGGGACTTAATCCTATTTCTGGCCCTAACTGGTAAAGAGTCCTTGGAAAAATTAACCTTTTTAATCCTCAAATTTGTGGTCTACAAGAGACGATTAGGGTCTCCCTTGGAGGGGTGTGGATAGAACTGAATGAGATATCCACATAGGGCACACACTTGCACGGAGACCCGGAAGGCATCCTATGAATGTTGCTTCTTGCTCCACTCTATTCCTCTGGTCATAGTCCCCCAGCAAAAATGGCAAATCAGGAAACTGACCTTTATCTGAAGCTGTTACCTCAATATAGCAGCCGTACATATGGTAAAACAAAGTAAAATAAATCTACTTAATTTCTATAAATTGTGATGGAACTCACTTTTATCATATTTTTACTCTTTGCTAGAAGTCTGTCCCCAGCCTATGTGCCCAGTGTAATGGTTGTTTATACAAAATCAAAATAATATCAAAGTAGTTGTTTTAAAATGCTAATAATTCATAAAATTAAATGAAATTCTTTGTATATGTTACCGAAATGCCAATTTGACCGTTTTTTCCCCAGAGTTATATATCTGTATTTTTATATATATGAATTTCTCCATATGTAATTGATTTCATTAAATTTCAAAACAAGTGATTTTGAGCAACGTGGTTTTGCCACCCATTGCCCTGAAAAAGAAAGATCTATTGGAAACCAAGTTCTAAACTGCGGAGTGTTGCTTTGCACTTGTGTCTCTTCTCATTCAGCTTTCTTATTTTTTTTGGCAGATAAAAGACTTTGGGCTCAAGCCCAATGTAAGCACATATTTATCTGGCAAAGAGAGAAGAGGAGCAGAACTTGAATATTTATTGTTGGCTACAATAAATAATTAGTGTGGCTGAACAATAATTTTTGGAAATAATAAAAAAACTCTATCATTTGTTAAATATATGGTGTAAGTATGCTAAGTGTTATATATACATAGAGTGTGTGAGATGGTTATCATCACAGTTTGCAGCTGCAGAAATCATGATCATAGAAGATAAGTAACCTGACTGAAGCTTATTTACAGAGAAGGGTGGGAACCCATGTGTGGTGGGCACTCCAGTACCTGTGCTCTCAATCATCACTGTTCTGTCCTGTCTCCAAAGGAAAATCCACACTGTCAGTCCCGAAAACACCAAAGAGAGAAAGTGATCAGAGGCAAATTTCAAGAACAAATCAACATCAAGGTAGTGGAATAGAATCATTGTGCTTAACTGAGATATCTTGAGTGTGTTATTTTTGTTTTATTTTGTTTTCTCAGAGAGAGAGTCTCACTCTGTAGTCCAGGCTGGAGTGCGGTGGTGTGTTCTCCATTCACTGCAACCTCTGCCTCCCAGGTTCAAGCGATTCTCGTGCTCGTGCCTCCCAAGTAGCTGGGACTACAGGTGTCTGCCACCACACCCAGCTACATTTTTGTATTTTAGTAGAGGTGGGGTTTCACCATGTTGCTCAGGCTGGTCTTGAACTCCTGAGCTCAGTCAATCCATCCGCCTTGGCCCACCAAAGTGCTAGGATTACAGGTGTGAGCATTGCACCCACAAGGCTTACTTATGTTTTTAAGTCTCAAGTTTCTTATCTGTAAAATGGGAGGCTTTTACCTACTTCATAGAAGTGTTTTGAGGATTTTATGGCATATTGTGCATACACTCAAGGCATAGCGTTGGGTACATCATAAACGTATAAGTACCTGGCATGCTCATATTATATCTTTCCTTACAAGGCTCTGCTGTTCCCATGCTACTGTTGCTATTACATATCTAGTATCTTCTTTCAGTTCTAGAACACTATAATGTTTAAGTGGTAACTGAGAACCAGAAATGGAGCGTCCCTGGCACTGCTTTTTTGAGGATGGGTTGATAGAGAGTTTACACGTATGCCATGCTAAGAAGTAAAATTCATATTCCAAGTAAGCATATCTATCTATCTATCTATCTATCTATCTATCTATCTATCTATCTATCTATCATCTATCTATCTGTCATCTATCTATCTATCTATCTATCTATCTATCTGCTAGGCTGCCCAGAGTTCCACACAGCTCTGGATATCAACTATGACTTTCTCGGGCAGTATGGACAGGGATACCCAGTACTCAGTAAAAACATGAGCTGTTGTTTTTATTTACACTACTCAAGGTCAGTTATAGTGCATTCACACTGCTCATTGACCCTGTTGGCTATTTTGTAATAGTGTGGCTTTGGTATTTCACACCAGAAACCATTTGGGGGTTCTGCCCATCAGATCTAGAAACTGGCTGCATGCCGCATTTAGCCAGAGACCATCTTAGGGTTCCAAAAAAGGAGCAAGTGTGAATTGCTTTATTTCCCTGATTCTTTCCTAACATTTTTTCTCAGTGACCTTTAAAAATTACCTGAACAGATACATAATCCCAGAATGAAGCAGTCAAGCCATTTAATATGACTAAGATAGATACACATAAATTTGGTCATCACTCAAGTGGCCTTGGCAGTCCTTATAATCCCACTAAAGGGCATAAGCCTAGGGTAGGGGAGATTAAATAACTAAACTTATGTAAAGCCAAAGAATAAGTGCCTGACGCTGTTAGCTGTGAAACTGTTAGCTACACAGCTGTGTAGAACCAACATCGAAGAGAAGGATGGACTTTGGAAGTGAAAGGAATAAAAAGCCAAATATATCTTACCTTGCATTTTTTCACATACAAATCCGTAGCCTTCCTTTCCACAGTCTTCAAAATACCATTTTCCAGTGAAATGAAAATTAGGATTACTTGACATCAAGGCACATAGAGGAATGTGTTTTTGAACTTCAGTGGTATGACTTGGAATCTTTAAAATAATACATGTTATCAAGAGCATAATAACATATAGCATTATTAAAACATTAACATTTTTATTAAGAACATTTTTTAAAATTAAGACAATTATTTCTTTATTTGCATTTAATAAATGTATTCACAAATTATTTCATAACCTACAAAAGAAACAATTACTGTGATGAGTAAAGTAATTATATTTTTTGAACACAAAAAAATTATATAAAATTGGCCAGGCTCAGTGGCTTATGCCTGTAATCCCACCACTCTGAGACGCCAACGCGGATGGATCACCTCAGGTCAGGAGTTCAAGACCAGCCTGACCAATATGGCAAAACCCTGGCTCTACTAAAAATACAAAAAATGAGCCAGGTGTGGTGCCAGGCACCTGTAATGCCAACTACTCAGGAGGCTGACACAGGAGAATCACTCGAACCTGGGAGGCTGAGGTTGCAGTGAGCCAAGATCACACCATTGCAGTCTAGCCTGGGCAACAGAGTGAAACTCTTGTCTTTCAAAAAATTATATAAAATTACATTAAAATTAATATATTAATAACAAACTAATATAAATTTATATCTCCAAAATATAGGAAGTTAAAAAAAAGCTTTAGTAAACAAGTCTTGAATAAAGTATCTTTCCAAAGTGATCTCTAAAAAGTAAATAGTTAAAACTTACATTTATTACATCAACTGGAGACCAGTTAGAATATACCACAGGCTTTCCATTTAGCCATTTTTCATAATCATCATTTTGTAAACCTATCCACACGTTAGTGGTCTGGCCAAAAAGATTCATAGTAATGAAAGCTGAAAAACAGGAATACATTATCTAATTTAATACTGTAGAAAGCATTTGAGTAATCACTGAATCCTATTTATAGCTCTGATTATATTTAAATGCCAGCAAAACATAATTATGAATCATTTGTAGGAATTTGTTACTTTATCCTTGTTAAGGTAATGTGCTTTCTTTCACTTTTGTTTTAGTTTAAATTGACAGAAATTAGCTGGATAACTTGAGATTTCATCATATCATTAGCAAATCAATTTCCAGTGTTCATTAATTACCTGTCTAAACAAAAGAGGATTTATCTACTATATTTAAACTAAAGTATAAAATTGTTTAAATATCAAATAAAAGCATGTAGATAAATGTAAAGGAATCTAAAAATCATGTTACCATGGTAATTACATGTAATTACCATGCAATTACATGTAGACTATACGTTAGATTCTTTGAGCCATTTTGAAATATAGGCCAGAAATATATCCTTATTCTTTCCACTGCTATTGGTGAGAGAAAGGCTCCAAAACCCAGCAGTTTATAAGCAATGCAGCACACTAATTTTTACAGATGTCATGAAATAAAACCTATGGGTCAAACTGAAAATTCATGTCTCATCTGCAATACAGTATTTTAAATGTTGATTTGGGAATGTTAGTATTGGTGGGGGGATATTTTAATAAATACTTGAATAAAAATGGTTATCTTGGCCTGGTTGGACCTTGAGTGCTCTACCTTGCTCCACTTCACTTTCGATGGCAACCAGGGTCCCCCCTTCTTCAGCACAGAAATGTTGAGCACGCATCCAGTTCTTCCAACTGCTTGGGTCTTTTGGGATATTCAGCAAAAGGCACTATCAAATGTCAAAACAAAAGGTTCATTTCTGTATTTTTCTAGGTGAATTAAAACTTTCCCCAAGACACTGAATATCAGCTTTGAAAATTCTTTATAATTTTCTTGGGCAGAAGAAACTCATTTTTCTTTCAACTACTCCACAGTTGTTACAATAAAACAAAGAGGAGCAGCTTTCGGGTGAGTAGTGACTTGCCTGCATTTGCAGCAGGCAGGAACAGAAGCAGGAATGTGTTTTGTCATGTGAAATGTCAGAATAGTGTCTTTGGCATAATGAAAAGTAGTATTATTCCTAAAAAGGAGCCACCCTGATTGCAAAGTTTACACTGGCACATGTAATCTAAAAAAACATTCTGGGGGTGGCAATAAACAGCTTATTTCAATTTTATTTATAAATACACTTCTTTAAGTGAGAAATACTGGGGAATTAAAGCACATCAGGTATTTAAATTCACTAAATACTTGAGTCAGCCATTTGGTCAGTAGGTCCATTGGGAAGAGCCAGAGAAGAAAACTAAATGATGCCAGTGGGACAGAAAGTAAGGGTATGGAACACCTGGAAAGAAGTAGAAATGAAGGGAAGGTCGGCCATCAATGTTAAAGGGAACACAAAACAAGTTGTGGAATTTGGCAATATAGGTTAAGTGTTATGCAGGAGAGAATCATGTCTGTATCAGGGCAGAGGTTTCTTTCTTATGGGGTGGGATGAGAAATGGAATGATACATACTCTGCAGGACAGGCAGTATTGAAGATAAGTTTGTTTGTTTTTCCCTGAAAGTTCAATGGAATTGAAGCATGTTGGTAAGACTAGATGGAGTTAGGTGAGAGGGAAAGATAGAAGAGAAAGGTTATAATGGATCAGACAAAATTCCAGAGAGGTCAGGAGAGACTTTATGCAAAGGATATTTCATCTGGAATTTGCTGGGAATTCTTCTTTCATATCAATTCTGTCATCAGTGAACACAGACAACCCCAGTCATGGATAGGTCAGATCCTGAGATCTTGCCCCTGAGAAAAACTCAGCTATAGGATAATTCTAAGTTAGCATGGAAATCTACACTTGAACAAGCATCCTTTAGTATCTTATTTTGGAATGATATCTGATATAGTTTGGATGTTTGTCCTTTCCAAATCTCATGTTGAAATGTGATTCCCAGTATTGAAGGTGAGGCCTGGTGGGAGGCGATTGGATCATGGGGGCGGATCCCTCGTGACTGGCTTACGGCCATCCCCTAGGTGATGAATGAGTTCTCAATTCACAAGAGATCTGATTGAAAGTCTGGAACCACTCCGCACCTCACCCTCTTGTTCCTCCTCTTGCCATGTGACATGCTGGTTCCCCGTCACCTTCCATCATGATTGTAAGCTCCCTGAAGCCCTCAGCAGGAGCAGGTGAGGCACCATGCTTCTTGTACAGCCTGCGAACTGTGAGCCAGAATACATCTCTTTTCTTTATCAGTTACCTAGTCTCAGGTATTCCTTTATAGAGATACAAGACTGGTCTAATATAATATCTTTCCCTATCATCCTTTAATTTCCAAATTTGTCAGTTCCCCACCCCATTCCCTACCATATACACCCCTTAAAAGCAGAGAGACTGTCTTATTCCTTTCTGAACATCACACCAGAGAAGGTCCCTAGCAAACATTTATTAAGCAAAATGAAAGCTAACAGACCCCAAATGGTTGTCAAATGACATTGTCAGGCATTTCACATTTAGCTCAGTGGTTCTTCAACAGGACAATTTTGCCCCTCAGAGTATATTTTGATAATGCCTGCAGGTATTTTTGGTTATTACAATTGGGGAGGGCGTTGCTATTGGCAACTAGTGAGTAGAGAGCAAGGATGCTACTAACCATTTGCAAAGCAAAGGTCAGGTCAGTCTTCCAAAGGCAAGAATTATCCAGCCCCAAACGTCAATAGTGCAAGGTAATTCTTTTTAAAAATAAATCCTGATCATGTCACTCTTTAGTTTAAACCCTTCAGAAAATTTCCACTGCTCTTAGGATAAAAACCAGAAACTCTTAACTAGCTTGAAGTTGAGTTGCCAACTAAGAGAGAAAATACATTTTCAATTCTTTTGGTCCTTTTTGTCTTGTTTGCTTCACAAAGAAACTGAATTGGCTTTCAAGGAGTTTAATTTTATAACAACTATCCTTTTATCTATTTCCTTTCATTTTGCCTCTTTCCTCTAATTACAAATTCTAAAGAGTGGCACATATTAATTATTGGGAAGCCTTATCATTTAATTTGAATTCACCTTGTGTTCAGATAGTTACACTAATGAACCATTCATAAATACCAATGAACCTCATTGGTTCAGTTAGCTCAATAAATCTCTCCAGAAAAACACCCCCTTCTGCTTCCTCTGTTTGCCTCAGCCAGGATTTACTAGCTTGACTGCAGAAGTGTGGCCTCCCATTACCACGACTTCATTGTTTCTAAAAATATAACATATTTACTAACACACTCCTAAATGATGTCATTAATAATTAAGGCAAAGCAGCAAGATGAAGTACAGCATCCTTAATTTAAAATTGTTTACTTATTAATTTGCAAAATGTGATCAAGTTTGATGTATCTCTGATTATTACTGTGAATTAAGGGGGTCCTACTATATTCTAAATGGGTTTTCAATATAAAATTCTTTTTTGTACTAAAATCATTTCTAGCTCAATATTTGAAAATGAAATTCATGGTCTCTCCAAACTTGGTCCTTTCCCAGTGCTCCTACCCACATTGAATGGCACGGTCAGCATGCATTTATACACATATAATAAGCCTGAAGCCTCAAAGGCATCCTCACCCTCTCACTCCATCACCCCAACAGCCCTGCCATTTGGATATCTCATTTCTCAAAAAGCCCCCTCACTCATCCCCCATTCCCACTGCCTCATGGTCTCTGCCACCACCATTTTAGCCAAGCTTCTAATCTCTTGCCTGCACTACAGTAATAGCCTCCTAACTGTCCTTAGCTTTCTCACCCTTCCCCTTCTCACTCTAGTGTATCCTTGGTACTACATCTAGAGTAATGCTTTTTAAAATTTGGTCCTGGTCACGTCCTTCTTTAGTTTTGAACCCATCCAGGGTTTCCCATTGCTCTTAGGATAAAGGCCAGAACTCCAATGTGATATCACCCTTTCCTACTTCTTTTGCTTCACCTTCCACCATTCTAGTTCTCTATGCTTCCTTTAGTTTCTTAAATATCATACTCACCTGTTGCTACAGGACCTTAGCACATGAGCCTCTCCCTATTTTTAATGTTCCCTATCTTTCTGACCACTTCAGTCAGGTCCTCCAGCTATACACTTTTCTAGAGCCATGTAACTTTCCTTTATCACATAAACCACAGTTTTAAATTATACAGCCATTTTCCTGATCGATTTACTAACGTTTGTTCTCCCTCTAGTGTGTAAGCGCCGAAGGAGAAGGGGCTGTGTCTGTTTTTCCTCACCATTGAATTCCCAACATCCAGCATAGTCAAATGAATGAATGAATAATGTGCTCAAATTTGAATGAATTCCCAAAACAGGTCAGAGTATTTTTAAGGAAAAACTTTGTTATGAACAAAAATCAATATTGACTAATCCCAAACTCAATGGTGCAAAGCAGCCATTACCACTCACTCCAGGTCTTCAATAAAAATATGTAAGTAGAAGCACACACACACTTAGAATTTTTTCCTCCCACAGATCTGCTGGGACAAGTATCTTAGATGACTCACTCTTCCTGGGTTAACTCCTGGTCAAACCTCTTTTACACTGTCAAACACAGAGAACACTATTTATGAGACATTAGAAAAGATGTTTAATTTCTGTGTATCTCAGTTTTTAAAACTCTAAAAGGTGGTTAATTTGTCAACAAAGTGGGATTATTTTCCTCAGAAATAACCAATAAAAATTAGCCCTAGGAAATTCACAAACAAGAAGCAAAGTTTAATGGGTCATAGTATATTGGAACTCATGTCAGAATTGTAAAGTAAAGAAGTTCCATCATTGTCATCTCCCAGTTTTCCTTCTAAAGCTTTATTTGTGAATAGGGAAAAACTATCCCACTCCTGTCAGCTATCAGTTCTCCTATTAGCAGTTTTTCTAATCATTTGGTAAACCTATTTGTTTCAAGGTGTAGATGACAGATGAGGCAATCTCAGAAATATTTCCATTTTAAAAATTAAAGTGTTGGGACAAGGGAGAGAAACTCCAGTGGTGGAATTGTAGGCATTAATGTGCAGGGTAAGGCACTGTGGTTGGGGAGACATGCATGGTGACTTTGACACTGTGCCAGGTGAATTGCCACCTACTCATGAAGCCTGCCGTGATGATATCCTTTGCAATCAAATTCTCCAAATGCCTTAAAGAAAGAGTTGTGGAACTATGACTGTTGGATTGCTGGGCAAATATTGGCTACACATTAGAATAACTGAGAGAGCTTTTAAAAAATACAGATGTCTGGATCCCATGCAGATCAGCTAAATCAGAATCTTCAGGACATCTCCTGCACGTTGATATTTTAAAAAAGCTCACCTGCTGATTCTAAATATTTGACCAGGGCTGAAAACTACTGATTTAGCTGTTAGTCATCAATAAATTTTTTTATGACTCTGAGCTATGTGAAGGTGTTTTAATCACGCTCCAGGGCTAGCTTCAGAAGGCGTCCCCATTCTCATGCATATATTTATGCCCCTCTCTATTCCTTTCTTGGGAAGCATTTACTTGCTTTTTTGCCCTGAGTCTGCTCCACCATCACTGCCACCATGCCCTTGCATATACATATACACTCTCTACATGTGCACAGGAGGACACGTGGGATAGAATTGAGATGTGTGGGTAAAAATCGGGTTTGGTGGAAGGATGATAGCAAAAGGCTGAACAAGAAACAATTATTCTGGGTTTCTAAGAATTTTTTTCTCAAATGCCAAGGATTTGATTTGTCATTCATTTCCTTAAAATATCCTCTTTTACACATGAGAGGAGGCAAGCGTTAGTAACTAGAACAGTTGT